TTGCCAATAATTTCTACGGAACCTGTGATTGCAAAACCACAAACATATTACAATACTGGAAACTTCTAATTAACCACAATAAATAACAGGATGGATTTGTTTTAAATACATGATTAATAATGCTTATTGCTTTAAGACCATAAACTGTGTGCTTCTCTATGGAGGTGAGAGAGGTAAGCTGCAAATGGTTTTGCAAAGTATGTTTCTACCTCTGCGTGTTAAGTCTGATCCAGAGCATTCTACTGATATGGGATCAGCCTCTCGTCTGATCTAATTTGCCTGCAGGAATTGTATTGGCTGTTAAACTGGCTCCCCTTAGTAGCTGTTTTAAAAAAAAGGAAGCAGCAGCAGCACAATTCTGTGGTGTGTTTCAGATGACTGAAGCCAGGTTCCTAGGTACTGAGACAAGAAGAATGTCAAACAGGACCTTTAATGTGTATTTATATTTAAACATCAGACCTAACAGAAAACCCTGAAGCTTTATGCAGTGATTGGAGCCTTGTAAGAGCCTAATTAATGTATTGTCGTGTGAATGGTTGGCCTAGCATTCAGCTGTTCTGAAGGATGCAAGGGGTCTCAGGTACCGCCTAGGAAGAATAGGTGCAGTTGTAGTGATTCAGTGGCCCATCTGAAAAGGACATATAAAGGCAGCTGTGTCTGGCGTGCTGTCTTTTCAGACTCACTTGATAATGCTAGTGTCAGTTTTAACTGAAGCGTGTGCCAGATTCCAGATAGCTTGAACTGGCATTTCAGAGGGGTTAATTGTGTAACTTGAGAAGAAAATGGGCACATTCTTCCTAAGATGGCAATTCAAATGTAGTCTCTTTCCCCCCAGAGCTTTCTGGATCTCAGTTTTGTTCTGCTTTCACATAAAATGCATGAGGAACCCTGAGCCTTTTCCCCTTGGCGGCTCCTATATTGCCATCTTTGCTGGGACTGCTTTGCCTTGTTAAAATGTGCCCCATGTATTAAAATGGAATTGTCACTGCTGGGTGGTACAGCATAACACGGTTTGACACTAAGTGCCGGCAGCGTCAGAAAACAGGCTTTTATAGCATTTATTCTTTCAGAGACTGGAGTCTCTAAAGGCTCACAGCAGACATTCACTTAGTTAAATCTGAATGAACCCAAAGTGAACAATCTACACTGCTGTCTTTGTGTTCATAGAAACAGCCCCCATCCAGCTTGATATGGCTGTAAAACAGTGTTAAGAAAAGATGATCATACTTAGAATCCAGAAGGGAGGACTTGAGGCTTTCAAACAAGAACAAAAATATTTTAAGTGGGTGGAGTGGGTTAGCCACTTGATTTTCTTTTTTAGCTTCCTCTCTATTCCATAAAATGCTTTATGTAGAATAAACATGCGCACACACACACACACACACCCCTAGTATTAGTCTTCATTTAGAATTCCATGTCATTTTAAGACAAAGAGAAATGATTTGATTTGTAGGACTCTTGCAAGCAAGCCTTAGATTCTTAACTGCCTTTTACCCAGAGAGAGATTGAACAGGGAGGGGGTTCTGAGGCAGAAACTTTGCATTCTGTAGCTCTCCTGGAATTAAAATTCCATAAAGTAACATCTGTAGTAATTAAGGGCTTACATTTCCTCTCCCATTCATGTCTCTGCTAGGAGGGAAGGTTATTTTCCCTAAGAGACAGTAGTAGATCCTGTGGGAAGAGAGAAAGAACAGAGTTAGAATTCTTTTGTTCCTGGAAGTGGAAGTTTTCTACTTAAAAAAAAAAAAAAAGATAAAAAAAATTGAAAGACTTAGGGTATAATGCTCCACTGGAAAGAAAACTTGAAAGGGTTAGGAAAATTGTGCTTAGCTGTTTCTAAATATTTAGAATGAGGAAAGATTCTTCTTGCCTTATCCAGATATCTTCTGTTATAGGGGAACTTGTCAGTGAGTAGTAAACAAAATGCTATTTTTGTTTTTATTTTTATCTATTAAAGTTGCATAAAGAGTTTTCTTTTTATTTGGACATCAAATTGATTCATTCTAAATATTTCTTTTTCAAAATAATACTTACGTGAATCCACTGGGTCACCTGATGATATACATACTGACCTACTAATGTCAAGTTAGTTTCCTGTACTTTCTTATCATACAGGGATCAGCTACATAAATTAGGGTGAAAGATGAAGTGTAGATCCCTTTGTTAAAAGAATTACTAAGAAGTCCCAGGTGGCAACAGCAGAACTCTAAACTAAGTGCAGGTTTGTTCTAAGTATGGAGCTCTGTGTGAAGACGCAGGCCTCATTCCTGTAAATTCAGCACTGTTTGGCAGTAGAGATTTGTCATATGCATCAATACAGAAAGATGTACACTCATCCCATGCTTCATAGGAATGTACATCTGAAAACAAACAAAACTTTGTCAGAACATAATTATATCTCCAAAATGGAACTCATTCCCGATATCATCTTCAAACTTGTTAAACAAGTGATACCAATGCCCTGACTTCAACTCCCAGTTAATATTTAAGAATTTCCTGTCAAATCCTTCTGCTGAGCCACATACTGTGTGCTCTCTCTACCACACTGTAATAAAAAGCCATGCCCTCCAAGCTGCCTAGCTCAGCCCCCTGCCCTAATTACTTCTCCAAAAGCCTTTCCTAGATTCTGTGCCTCTTCTCAGTATTTCCCTGACTGCTGGGATCCTGCCCACATTTGAATTCTTATAGCTGTAATAAATATGTATAGCTTATTTAACATTTGTTAACATTTTTTTTTGTGTCTTGTTTCCTGTGCCATGTAATATGGTCCTATAAATACGGCCATGTAATATAGTCTTGAAATACACATAAACTTTAGACGTGGGAAAGTTTTACAACTTGCACTGATGGGTGCCATTCCAAGAAAGCTTGCATTAATAACATAGCAAAAAATCAAAAATTACACTTTGCCTTTTGGACAAATTTTACACATTTCATACACATTGTTTCATTTGTATGTGTGCTGTTTATTAAATTTGTTTTTGCCTCTAGTATACTCTTAGGAGGATTTAAATTTCTTTTCATCAGAATTAATCCTTAATTATCATCTTCCCCATCCAATTTTATAAAACAATAAAGGCTGGATATTATTCATTATTTGGAAAATGCTACAAATATTACTGTACTTAAGATACGGTAACATTGTCAAAATTTAAATTATGTTGGTGTGGCTCAAAATGTTCATTCTTTAGATTGTATGTGAGATGCCAAAATTTGGCACAATAACATTAGTTTAGGAATATTGATAGGATAGTATGACAAAATAGGATTTTGTTCAGAATTCAAGATTGGGAAAGTAGGACCTAAGGTTTGTGTATCTATAACTTCCTTCAATATGTAGGACCCTACCTAACTCTCTAAAATCATCCAGTTGATTTTCAATAAAAATCTCATAATGCTGATGACTACATTACTATACCAATCAGTCCTGTAGGCTGCAAGCTGTTCAAATAAAACACATCTTGTCAACTTATTTTGTGGAATTCATCAGCAGTATAGCTTAATAGCTATAGCACAGGCTTTACTATTGCACAGGTGTCAGTTGAAATCCTGACTTTACCCCTTATCGGAAAGGTAATTTGTCTGTCTAAGCCTTAGTGCCTTATTGATATGAAAGACAATCACAAAACCTACCCATCAGGTTGGCTAATTCCTCATTTAACAGACATTTGTTGAACACTTTCAGTTGCCAAACATTGCTGAGTGAATTAAGATAATGACAAATGGGATCTAAGTAAACTAAAGAGCTTCTGCACAGCAAAAGAAACTATCATGAGAGTGAACAGGCACCCTACAGAATGAGAGAAAATTTTTGCAACCTATCCACCTGACAAAGGGCTAATATCCAGAATCTACAAAGAACTTAAAACACATTTACAAGAAAAAACAAACAACTCCATCAAAAAATGGGCAAAATATATGAACAGACACTTCTCAAAAGAAGACACTTATGTGGCCAACAAACATATGAAAAAAAGCTCATCATCACTGGTCATTAGAGAATGCAAATCAAAACCACAATGAGATACCATCTCATGCCAGTTAGAAAGGCAATCATTAAAAAATCAGGAAATAATAGATGCTGGTGAGGATGTGGAGAAATAGGAAAGCTTTTACACATTGGTGGGAGGGTACGTTAGTTCAACCATTGTGGAAGACAATGTGGCGATTCCTCAAGGATCCAGAACCAGAAATACGATTTGACTCAGCAATCTCATTACTGGGTATATACCCAAAGGATTATAAATCATCCTATAAAGACATATGCTTATGTATGTTTATTGCAGCATTATTCACAAAAGGAAAGACATGGAACCAACCCAAATGCCCATTAATGATAAACTGGATAAAGAAAATGTGGCACATATATGCCATGGAATACTATGCAGCCATAAAAAAGAACGAGTTCATGTTCTTTGCCAAGGACATGGAAGCTGGAAACCATCATTCTCAGCAAAATAACACAGGAACAGAAAACCGAACACTGCAAGTTCTCACTCATAAGTAGGAGTTGAACAATGAGAACACATGGATACAGAGGGGAACACCACACAACAGGGCCTGCTGAGGAATGGGGGACTAAGTGGGGGATAGCAGTAGGAGAAATACCTAATTTAGATGACGGGTTGATGGGTGCAGCAAACCACCGTGGCACGTTTATACCTATGTAACAAACCTGCACAATTCTGCACATTTATCCCAGAACTTAAAGTATAATAATAATAATTTTAAAAAGATAATGCCTCAGGGTTACTGCTGAATGAGGGCTCAGAACAGACCCCTCCATGTAGGCAGCTTTCAATAGAGTGAATAATACTTTCTCAGCAATGATGAATTAGTGATGTTCTCTTATCAATCTTCTCCTTGTGACCATGATAAAAGTCGACAATAGAGATACATTTCTCAAATTATGTATTTTCATGGCTTTCTAGTTTTCCTTTACTTCTTAAGTGTCTTTTTCTTGACAATCATATGTTATCTCTGGTTTACTTTTTTCCCAGAATGGAGTCTACTGAAAAATGTGAAGTGGTAATTCAACATTTTAATGGCAAATATCTGAAAACACCACCAGGCATCCCAGGTAAGAAATGTTGCTAATAAGTCACTAAATGATGTGGAGGCTTAAATTGCTCTTATTAGAATAAGTACGTGATAAAGCCCTTGTTGATCATTGCAAGATCGGGGGTTTTTATATATTAATGTATATTTTTAAATAATACTATGTAGTGACTCATCTGTCTCTACAGCTTTTTGGTAATTCTTACTTGGCTTTTCTTTGAATTTCTGCTACTAATTTTCTAAAGTGGATTAGAAGAAAATAGTTAAAGAGTGATATACTGGAAGTGATGGAAGTTTATGACTCCGCATTAATATTAAAATTCCAATTTCTAAGTTATAAAGTATCTAAACAATGATATTTACAATAAATCCCACAAATTTATGCCAGTCCTGAAACATTTCTTACCAATCCATGACAAGAAAAATACAGAAATTGAGAGAAAGCAATTAGAAACTTGTATAGCAATTTGACAATGTCATGAAATCTGAGTGCATAATTTTCTTTTACAAAAATATCAGTTACTGACAAATTGGAAATTTTAGAAAATTGTCTATTTATCAGAGCTAGTGTGAGAAGCCCCATCTGGCCTATCCCAGGGCATTTCATACTTCCCCAGGCAAAATTCCTAAGGTTTTATACACATCATAAAGTGTTCTAACTTTATACTATTAAGAATTACATTAAACATGAAATAATTGGATTTATTATGTGTATCAGAGGTTCAAATGCCAGAACTTGAGGAAGCAGTATATGTGGAAGGTTTTAATATTAAGTAAGTAAAGTTTTAATTATAATTCCTAACCTCCGTCTCCTGGGTTCAGGCAATTCTCCTGCCTCAGCCTCCTGAGTAGGTGAGCCGAGATTGTGCCATTGCACTCCAGCCTGGGTAACAAGAGTGAAACTCCCTCTCAAAAAAAAAAAAAAAAATATATATATATATATATATATATCCTATATAAACAATTAAGCTTGAATGAGGTATTAAACTAAGAAAAATTACATAAATGTAGAATCATCTGAATAATGAATGTTGGTTTATTTGTTGGTCTTTTATATATAGTCATTCTTAGGGGAGACTAAGGTCACTTCTTTCGTCTTACAATATGTGCCTTTCGTCTTTTGAAGCTGGATTTCGGTACTGTTTGCTGTATTTTAAATCTCTTTAAAACTCATCAGAGTTCAGAGGTTAAGCATTTGCGTTTCTTAAAATATATTGAGTTTCTCTATAAGAGGAAGTGTGTACAAAATGAGAAATATTTTTGTGGAGGGTTTTGTAACGACTTGCTTTGCGGAAGGAGGATGTCAAGAATGCAGAAAGACCCTTCAGACAGACACTCGCATAATCTGAAAATCCAAAGTAGCTGATTGCTGGCTAATCAGTGAGTCAACATACAGTGAAGACTGTGCCTTGATTTGGTTAGCGTCCATGTGGAACGTTCCCTTGGGAGCTGACTGCATTATGATCCAATTGGAGACATATGGTGTTGTTAAGAAAAGAGTTAGCAGTTTTCATCTCAGCGTGTTAGCTGCCCTTGCATTTTAGCAGAAATACTTTTTTTTTTGTATAAACAGACATTTTAAGACACTTTACTCAGACCCGTCATTGAGTAAAGGAGTTGCATTGTTTGTAGGCTTTCCTCTTTTGTCCTGTTTCATCCAACAGATACCTATCGTTATAAAAGTTGTTCAAACGAGGTATAAATTATGTAATTGTATAAAAATATAAATGAGCACACTGCATAGAAATTATGGATGATTCAAGTTTTAGCCCAAGTCTCAATTTTTTTATTTGTTCATTTTTGAAAAAAAGATGTATTGAAATCCGTCTTTCTCTTATTGATTTGAAAGTATTTTATTTGGTTTTCCCCATAGAACATATCGCTGACTAATACAATTTAATGCCAAAGACAAAGAAAGTCACTACAAATCCCCAAATGTCTGGGCATCCTTCCAGAATATGCGGGTTTTGATATTAACCTATCTAATATCATAGCTACACCCAATGGAAACATCGTGAATAACAGGAACTTGGTTAGGAGTTTTCTCACTCACTTTTATCTCCTGGGAACAAGACAGACAAAATAATTATGATCAGTTATAAAACTCTTAGAAGAGGTAACTATATGCTTCTGAGATTTCGACTCATCATAATAGAACTAAATATACAATATCGATCATCATCAGTGCTTGAATCTGCTTATTTATAAATTACTTTGAAAGTTAGAGTTGAATAACGGCTTCAAATGCTAAGTAAAGACATTTCATCTTTGATACTTAAATTAGGTGTGGAAGAAAAGAGGCTATAATACAAGATATGGGTATTTTTAAAGGTGAAGTGGTAATTTGCCCTTGTTGAGTATAATTACTCAGTCATGGTAGGTATAATACAATTTGGGTATATGCTGTCTGCCTTTATTTGTCCTCATTACTTGTTACCTGGAAATAGCTGAAATCTTACTTTCAGAAATGTATGTCTTAACCAATATTTAAGTCCATTTTAAGACAGAGAGTAAGATAATACTATAAGCTATGGCCTCAGATATCCTTACCTTTTTTTAAGTGGTCAATTTTCTAATCTTTTTTATTACCTTAGAAAATATGTGTTTGCTTTTGAATATACTCGTGCAATTAGTGTGACCCACTGAAAACGAAAATACAATTTTTAAAATCTGAAAAATCACGGTGTTCTGCCTTAACAAGATTTGACGTATTTGAATTCCAAATTTTGTGGTTTTATCGAACTGCACATTGACGGTTTAAATACATTGCTTTAAGGTCATGTAGATGAGAGACTCACAGTGATCCAATAATGATGACCTAAGATCCTCAGGCCTTCAGAAAGCTGTTGAAAGATTGAATACTATGTCAATCATCTTCTCATACTAGAGCCCTATTGTATTAGTCTGTTTTTATGCTGCTGATAAAGACATATCCAACACTAGAAAATTTAGAAAAGAAGAGGTTTATTGGACTTACAGTTCCACGTGGCTGGGGAGGCCTCACAATCATGGTGGAAAGTGAAAGTCATGTCTCACATGATGGCAGACAAGAGAGGAGAGCTTGTGCAGGCAAACTCCCCAATTTAAAACCATCAGATTTCATGAGACATATTCACAATCATGAGTACAGCATGGAAAAGACCTGCCCCCATGATTCGATTACCTCCCACCAGGTCCCTCCCATAACACTTGGGAATTAAAGATAAGATTTGGGTGGGGACACAGCCTAACTGTTTCTCCTATATTTAATATTACTCTAAGCAAGTGCAGAGCAATTGGTGCCATATTGGTGCCATATTCATACTGCCTAGCTCTCTGTTTAAGGACAGTGTGGGGAAAATGTGCATGTGTTGTTGGGCAAATACAGTGGCATTTGATTTCTGTCACTGTTGACAATGACAATGACTCCTCTTGGTGTTTTTTTTTTTTTTTTGAGATGGAGTTTTGCTCTTTTTTCCCAGGCTGGAGTGCAATGGTATGATCTTGGCTCACCACAACCTCTGCCTTCCAGGTTCAAACAATTCTCCTGCCTCAGCCTCCCGAGTAGCTTAGCTGGGATTATAGGCATACACCACCATGCCCAGCTAATTTTGTATTTTTAGTAGAGACGGGGTTTCTCCATGTTGGTCAGGCTGGTCTCAAATCCCCACCTCAGGTGATCCACCCGCCTCAGCCTCCTAAATTGCTGGGATTACAGGCATGAGCCTGGCCAAAAAAATGGTAATTATTCTTAAAAGAGATGCAAAGCTAATTATTTTCCTGAGATGATCATGTAGTTTCCAAGTTTCCTACTATGTCATTTTTATAAAAGAACAAGGAAAAAAATCGATTTCAACCTAAAATGTTGCCATTGCTCTGGATTTCAAGTTCTAAAAAGGACATAGTTAAGGAAATTTGCAAGGACATGTAACACTGACCACATTTACGTTGCTGCCCCATTTTGATTTGAGCCACTGTTGGAATAATTTGCTAATTAAATATGATTCATGTTGGTATTGGGTTCTAATTCCTGACAGATATGTGAGTTGGAAGAGAGCTTTATAGCTATCTTTTAGGAACATGCTTTATTTCTCTGAGCTCCTCCTATTTATTTATAAGAGGTCTTTTTTAAATGCATACATCATGGACCATTAATACCTTTTAGCACATCCCAGAACTACCTCTGTTCATTTTAGATTGTAATGTTACCCCCGGATTTTGGTTACCTGGATCAATGAAGCTAAATATACATGCCAAAAATAAAGTTGTTGAGTACTAGTATACAGGAAGTTTAGAAAGATCAGTCACCTGTGTTGTTGCTAGCAGATGGGAAGGAAAGACCAAAAGCATGTGTTAAATAGAGTCAATCATTTGAGTGTTGTAGCCATCAGCAGAAAGAGATCATTCAGTGTTTTCTCCCTTCCCTAGAGGGAAAAGAAAATACAGCATTCCATAAATGTTGCATGTCCTACATATCGATCTTGATGTTTTCTGGGCAAAATGAAGGATCATTAGTTGCTTGCCCACCTAACCCCAGACATTTCTTTGTCCCGTAATGAATTGCACAGCAACGTTGTATAGCCCCAAAGTGTTCCACTTTCAAACCTCTGGCAAAAGCAAAGGGTTAGTTCCCAGACACTTCAGGGATCTGTGGGGCATGGACTTGAAAGGCTCAGTTTCAAAGAGCCCCCAGAGCAGAGTGATACACCATGCGGAAAAGGCTTTCACATGTAGGGACATGTATTGATGAACAGAGCATGCAGGCTGGTTTGTAAAAAAATAAACCATGTTTTGCTTTCAAACTAGACTTTTTTTTTTTTTTCCTGTAAGCACGTGTTCCTATCAGTGGAGCAGTCTTTTCAGAATAAAATGGAATAACTCACTTCTGATATGCTTTCCTTACTTTTTATATAATTGTTTCTAATCTCAACTGAACTCTAAGAAGTAGGAAAAATTTGAGAGGAAGCTTAGCACATTATGGGATCTTTTAAAATTTACAACTCTTGTGACTGACAGAACTTTGCACAAATAGTTATGCACCAG